TCATCCAGGTCATGGTTATTCTCGTAGTTTAATCGTAACAAATGGACTTGCTTGACTTTCACCTCTCATCCACTCTCATCTCCCTCCGATGAAGCCTCTTGGATGAGAGGTGAAACATCTTTAAGAAACTCAAGCAAGTCCAACAACTGTTATTTGTTGTCCTCGTATGTAAATGCAGCATTCATATCAAACACAGTGGAGAAAGGGACTTTCATAGAGCTCCAGGGTGATGCAACATTAAGAGAGCAAGATGCTTCTTGCTTGCAGGAACAGAAAAATATTACTAAAGCTTTAACTGCCTTTATAAATGGTCGTGCTATGTGTATGGGATGTTACATAATCTATGTTCTGCTCTATGTGGGAGCATTAGAAGCTTTAAAGACCCCCTGTTGTGAAAACTTAATTTTTTACCCTGTTAACATGTCCCGATGGTGGCGGGGTTTTTTTATGCATGATGGAATGGATGAGCAAAATAAGCAGTAAATGTTGCAGCTGAGTGTACCGATGACAGTCCCAAAAACACGGGGTTGGGGTTTCATACGTGATAAACCTAAGGAACCCATTCTGTCAGCTTGCAGGATGGAGCTTCCTGTATTGTTATTCTTTCTATAATCAGTTTCCAGCTTGAACATGTATGGATGAATTACTCCCATATTGCAGCTTGTCATTGTGTAGAGTTTTACAGTGTTTGAGCGAAGTCATAGATGAGCAGGTGTGCACAAGATGCAGCGAGCGGTGAGGGAGGTTGTAGCTGCAGACAGTGACTTCATGGATTCACACATTCTGAAGGAAGCAAAGCTGTGGAGTTGCAGGGAGGGGCAACTCTAAATATGTAACTTTAGACAGAGTTGAGTTTTTAGGGGTTTGATCAATGACCAGAGAGGGACTTGAATGATTATGCAAGTGGAGCAATTTAAGTGTTCAGAGCAACATAAAGAAACACGTACAAATCAAGAAAACTTTATTGAATTTCCCTTCTGGGATGAATAAAGTATTTTTCATTTCATTTCATTTCATTTCAAAACGTCTTCACCAATTTGACAATACAGGTGAGAAAAACCCCATTTTAAATACAGAAATGCTGCAAGTGGCACAGACTACAACTAAAAAGAAAAGAATACAGCTGGGTGACTCATCAAGTTACTAAAGTAGTGCTGGAAAACAGGCTGGCGTGTACGTTCTGCTTGTGCATTCTAGTGACATGATTCCTGTATCAGTGCATTGCAGAGTTTTTTGTCTAAATGCTGCATCACTGTTGTCAAATTAGGGAAGATGTTTCTTCAGCGTTCTTGCGTTTTATCTATTTAAATGTGTTTTCTCAAGTTTCTCAAGAGCCCTCTTTGCCTCCGTAAATTAGAGCCGGAACTGACAACCACGTTCTGAATAATGTGCCAGTTATTTCTTCAATTAGGCAACTAATGGGTTCGTCAATAAAATGTCCAAGGTGACATCTGGCTGGTTTTGTCTAACTTCCAGCCAAGAAAAACTGAAAGACATTAAATTTCCAATGATATAAAACAGAGAAAAGCAACAGCTCCTGTATAAGGGGCAGAGGATACAAAAAAATCCAGCTCTGTTGCTTAAAACTTGTCTTAAAAGAGTGTTTACATTTTTGGCGATCATTTTCCATCCGTTGCTCGATGACAGTCGTTTTGCAGCTATTATTTTACATGAAGAACATGAGCTGCTAGCATGCATCATCAAACTACCTGCGACATGCTGCTGCTCCTGGTTGACTTCTCCCTCCAGCATCCAGACCTCCCCTGATCTGATTTCAGATTAACTGTAGATGCTGTGACATCTTCTGCTCGGTGCATTATGTGTATTCATATCTCTGCAGTGCTGCTTTGTGTTGGGTTCTGCTCTGTACAACCCTGTGGGGGAGTTTTATTTCTCTCACTGAAGAAATTATTCACTTGGACCTGAATTCATTGACTAAATATCCTCGAGAGCGGAGGCTATTGGAAAAGTACAACACAGGAGCTGTTTCTAGCTAGAGAGGGTTTTTTTTTACTGTTACTGAAAGTATCTGGGTGGTTGGTAGATTCATGGACTGACTTGAAACTGGTAATTCTCCAGAATACCACATTACAACTACCAATCAGACTTCATGTTTGTTCGTTGGATTGCCTGCTGTGTAGTCAATATTTCACTGGGTCTGAGACTTCACAATTGGTCTCTGCAAAATAGGCTTTTTTGATTGTAGTCCTGACTCACAGTCACTTATCAGACCTTGTGTGACAAATGACTGCAAAATAAACCAACAAGTGGACCAAAATATGCACCAATCACCCACAACAAGGTCCCACTCATACACCAAAACAGCTCTGACCAGTCAGGTCATTGACTCTTAAGGTGTCCCGTGGTATCAGACGCCAACATATTAGATTTTGTAGCATCTCTGTTGGTTAGACATTCCACAGATGCTTGATTTGAATGAGATCTGGGGAGTTTAGAGGCCAAGACAACATCTTGATCTCTTTGTTATGTTCCTTAAAGCATTACTGAGAATTGTTTGCAGTGTGGCAGGAAGCATTCTGCTGCTGACCGAGGCCACTACCATTAGAGAATACCATCGGCATGAAGGCAAGTGAGATGTGCAGCAATGTTTAGGTGGATTATACGTGTCAAAGTAGCATCCACATAAAGGCGACATCCAAGGTTTCCCAGCATCACATTGCATCGACTGACTTGCCTTCTTGTGCTGTATAAACATCACTCAGATCTTTGCACTTGTCCCTTGTTCCTGCCTCCAAAACATCAGCTTCAAGAGCTGCCTGTTCACTTGCTGCCTCATATATCCTCCTTTAGCAGATGTCAATGTGTTAAGGTTTATTCACTTCACCTGTCTACGTTGCTAATGCTGTGGCTCAACATCACCAGTCCGGCTACTAACACCAGGTCAAGTGATGTGTTTTAACCACAAGCCATTAGCCATTGTCATTATCCAATATTAGCCTTCCTACATTATTTAGCTGCTCCTCAGACACTGGAAATGACTGAACCTTCTTGACAGAGAAGTCAATCTTCTTTGAGAGTAATGCTACCGGTCAGCAGTATACCGGCCTTGAGAGGTCTGATTATTGACCAGTGTCCATAAAGATGTGATATCATTGTTCCATCAACTTTATATGTTGGAAAAAGAGCAGACATTACACTAGATGTTACCATTTAGTTGGTAGGAGGATTTTGTTGTTCGGTTTATTACATAGACAAAGATCCTTGTGGGTTGTGTGTGTTTGCATGAGTCCCTGCAGCAGTGCAGGAAGAGCAAGAGGATATATCTTTTACGTCATGTAATTTTTTTTATCTGTCCTTTTTGGCAAAAGCAGCTGAGACGAGCGCTTTTTACCTCCTCTACTGTGTGTGTCTGTCAGGCCTGCACAAAAAATACACACACGACAAGCTGAAGTGTAAAGGTTCCTGTTCAAAGTTGCATTTGATGTGTATATTTGTTAGTTTAAATGCCTCATAAAACATTAAGTGGATGAGAAATTGGCTAACCTGTTGCTGGCTTTGCAGTCTCATGCCAGTGACTCACTCACAAGCAGAGGGCATCACCATGGCAACTTGGCCCGTATAGAAAGTCTGCTCTGGAGAAAGCTGTGTGTTGTTCGTTTAATCCAAACATATAAAACAACCAACACGTCAGCTTTCTCGATACATGATATTGCTATTACTAGACGGTGCCAAGAGCTTGATACAGAAATAAAAGGGAGTCTGACCTCGTTTGCTTGCCGTGATGATTTATTAAAAGATAGAATAAATGAAAGTAGTATTTTCCAGGCATCTGGTGAGAAAAAAGAAGGCTTCTATTAAGCAACAAGCTGCTGATATTGGATAATTAGAAGTGAGTACATTTCCATTTGCATACTGAGGACAAAATCCACTCTGAAAGACCTTGCCTCCATTAAAACAGCTCTTGGTGATAATGCCTACGTTAGTGGCAAATTCATCTTTTATTCCTGCAATAGTTGTGGAAGTCTGAAAGGAGAAACTGGGTAGTTGACATGAGTTTTTGCTGTTCGAAGTTGGGCCGTTTGTCAAGAGTTTACAGCTCATCATATAAGGAAAAAAACTCCATCATAGAGGAGGCGGAGAGACTCATTTGAACAGCTGCTCCATAAGTTCATGTTGTGATTTTCAAAGGGTCGGTCTTCGCTGCTGACAACAACAGATAGCGCTGATGGCATTGTTGTTTTAACTTGTCATTCATCCGTTATTTGTACTTGCTTCTCGGTTCATATTTCAGGAGGCTGACGGGTTGTTGCTGAAACAAGTTATTTCACTTATTCTAGGAAACAAAATCCTAACTGTGAGGAGACGGTGCTAACATATCAGTGACACCGCTGTTCAGAAGAGAACAGTGTTGGTATGGCTGATGTGGGGATGCCCAGAATCTCAACCTGCACCATATTTTAAGGGAAGGCTGTTAAATAGAAAAAATATCTCATGTAACAGAAACAACAGGCAAATAAGAAAGGGCTTTAATTAGACACTCGAACAGGTGGGAGGCCTTGACTTGTGTATATAAACCTGATAATTAAATCAATATAACCTGAGTAATAACTGGATTAGCTCAAAGCACATGAAGCAATAACAGATATAAAATTAAAATCGTAGAGAAAATGAAGCCGTGAAACAGTGGAGGTTTAATTAAAATGTTCTTGGAGGCAGAGCTGTTGCAGAAATATAACTAGTGGTTGTATATAACTGGCAAAAGTAAATTATTTTTTAGTTTTCCTGAAGCAGAAAATGAGAACAAAATGTTGTGTGCCAACGAGGTGCTCGAAGTACATAATTGAGACCCAAATGTAAAAAAAAAGAAAGAAAGAAAGCAAATCAGAAGCACTACTTGTCCAACAGAACAGCCTTTTTATTTTACCAGAAACATGTTTCTTCCTTTTTTGTGTGTGTTTGAAAACTCTCTTGGCAGGGAGGTTCCTATAATCTGTAGGGTTAATTGAAAAGTCACTTGTCATTTTTTTTCTGTCTTGCAGCTTGCTCAGGATGAGGGCAGCCCAGTGCGAGGGTTTGGCGTGGTGGAATATGAGAGCGCGGAGCAGGCGGAGGCTGTGCTGATAGAGATGGACCGAACGCTGGTGGGAGGACAGGAGGTCCGTCTGTCACTCTGTACCCCCGGCACCTCAGGGAGAAGCACCTTGGCTGCACTCATTGCTGCCCAGGGTATGGTGAGTATTTAACACAGAAAACACAAAGGCAGCATCACATCACAGACATATAAAACAAAGTACACTACCGTAGTTTCCAGACTATAAGCCGCTACTTTTTTCACACGCTTTGAACACTGCAGCTTAAACAATGATGCGGCTAATTTATGGATTTTTACGAATTTGCTTCGAGACGAATGTGACATTGAGAGCGACAACGAAAGAGAGACTGAGGAAGTGTGTGACAAATTAATTCTGAGGCTGTTGACACTGAAGATGACGACTTTAGTGGTTTTAGTGAGCAGGAGGAAGATGAAGATAGTGATCAATGACTTTTCCTGGTAGGCCACTGTATTTTATTTTTTCTTAACCAGCCGTGTTACAGGCACTGTTCTGAAAAAAGCATTTACGGTACATATTTGTGTAAGTTACCGGTACGTATTTAATTAAAAGTTTTAAAAAATCTTTCTGTGTTTATATCTCACTGCAGCTTATCGACAAGTGTGGCCTGTATATGTAAAAAAAAAAAAAAAAGTCTTTTTAAAGTTAGCAGGTGCGGCTTATATTCAGGTGCGCTCAGTTGTCTGGAAATTATATATCTACACCCACCAGTACACAGGCTTTGATGGTAGCCACTGGTCAGATGTCAAAAGACTAATATTAGCACCAATTAGCACAGTCGCAACACTTCACTAGCCAACTAATCCTAGTGTGGGTTGGTTAGTTACTGAACAGCAAAAAAGACCAACAAGATTGTAGCATAGAGGAGAGACATCCAGGTGAATCCTGACCTGGGGGGAAGTGTTTCTCAGAAAAGCTAGTCAGTGTTTGTATCTCAAACTCTCCTCCCCACGCGACCTCGGATGTCGTGGACAATTGTGTCTAAGACTTTGAGGTAAGCTCACTCACTGAGCCCCCAGTCTGACAGCCAGACGGTGCTCATCTCTTTTCTCGCTGTATTATACGCACGGCATCACACTCTGGAATCCTCAGCACAATGGCCATCTAAGCTTGAGGAGTATTCATAAAGTATTCATAAAACTGAAGTGGTGACCGGAATGGTACGACAAAGAAAAACATGAAAAATATCACATTGGAGAAGCTGGAACCATCAATTATTCATTTTCCAGTGAATCACCAAATCATGTCTACTGTAGACGTGTCATTGATTTTCCCAGTTGCCTTTTTTCACATTTTTTAAAGGTCCCATATTGTGCCCCTTTTCAGGAAGTTAATTAAAGTCTCACATGTATCAAAAATGTGTCTTTCAATGTTTCGGCTCCAGATGCTGGTGGTTCATGGTTCATTTCCTCGTGAGGGTGGAACTATTGGTTCTTGTCCATCACTTCCTCTGTATGTTGAAGTTGTCACATGATGTTGCAGTCATCAAATCAGTATTTTAGCAATGCAGAGCAGCAGCTTGGGAATGGCTCTGAAGGGACTGCTGGTTAACAAGTATTTTTAATTGGCTGCTTCGGTCACGACTCCTCTGACAACAGAAACAGAAAATAATGTTAATAAGAACAAGTTAATTCAGCTGCATTCAAATACAGTATATGTGAGCACAGAGAGCAGGAGAGAAGCAAACAGATGTTCAAGGACTGACACAGCTGTGTTTGGGCGATAACCCGGATCTTGTTTATTAGTTTCAAATCAGTCTTAAAGTTTCCACCATCTCTACAGTTTTACAGTTTCCACAGAGCTCTGTGGGCATACAATCAAAGCCAATGGTAATGTTAGCCACATTAGCTGCACAATGTCCTAACAGTAAGGATTTTCCTATTGTTACGTTGCTATTGCTTATATATAAATATATAAAAGTTAATCCACTGGGTCTTCAGTTCCTCAGATGCTGGGAGGACATTAAGACTCTTCTGTTCACTCTTGCAGCCAACAGCAGAACATTTGGTTTGGTTTGCTCGTGGCTGAGACATTTTAGAGTTAGCAGAAGCATCTCTAGAAAATAAATAAAGCTGGCAGACAGCAAGGCAGCTGCTCTTTCTGAATGACTCACCTCAGAAGCAGCAGGCAGTGAGGGCTTCAGATTATACAAAGTTTGAGTTAGACGTCAGTCGATTTCTATTTTGGAACGTAGCCGTTCAGTTAAAGTCTTAATGAATTGTAAAGCTAAACGGCTTTCAGTAAACACCTCCAAGTATTCTTCACTTTCTCTATGTAGTTCTGAGACAACAAGTTAAACAACGTTACCACAGCATGTACACATAATGCCTCCCACGCAGAATCCAACTCATGAGCAAGGCTGAAATGATTTGCACATGATGTCTTGAAATAAGTACAAACGATTAAACAAACGTAAGCCCATTAGTTAGAATTGGTGTCAGGGTTGATGCAGGGACCCAGAATTACGGGACTCCAAGGACTAAAAGCAGAAACTGAGGAAGTTGACAATTACCACAAAAAAAATAAAAATAAAACGAAAATAAAAAACCATAGTAACACAGTACACATACAGGCTGGGCTCAAAAAAAATCCTCAGCGAAAACCAGACAGGTGATTTTAACTGTCAGTTTTAATGCCTGTAGCTAATAGGCGTCCATTAAAAGACATCTCGGCACTAGTGTGACAATCAGAACCGTCCTGATTTTAGCTTGTAAATATCAACCATGTTGGATTTTATCAGGGTGGGCCTGATGAGTCTGTGTGCAGATTTGGAGGTTTGAGGACGAATCTGTAAACCCATCACACGACCAAATAATCTGGGCTGAACATCATTGGAGACCACAATCTCAGTTTCAACCTCCGATTGTCAGAAGGGGTGAAACTGAGGTAAATTGGCCTGAAACTCCTGTAGTGTGAGCACAAAGGCACAAAGACCATCTGTGAAAGAAATAGTGGGATCAGGTGAGTGGAGGAGTGGGTCAGCTGACACCGCTGGCAGGTAACACAGAGAAGTGGGAATGGCAAGGCCTGAAAGGACAACAGAGTTAGTGCACTGAATGAATAAATTAAATGAAAAAAAAAAACCCCAGAACTAACTAGTATTAGTCTGTTAAATAGGGACTTTAAAGGAATAACTGTACATGCTCACATATGAAGGGAAAAAGTTAGAATAGCACATGCACAAGTGTTGCAAACTTTTCCTGAGCTGATTCTTTCTCCAAATGCATTATTGTTTACTTAATGTTGTTTATTTCAGTCAGCAAGGTCTCAAGAAGCATTATACATTAAAGCAAAATTAACTTGTCAGCTCGACAGCTTGACAAGTTTAAGCAAACTCAGCAAAGGAAACCCCATAAATTTAAGAGAGAAGGCACAGAAACACTTCTGGAAAACTAGACGCCGCATCGCCCAAACACTGGACTTCCCAGACAAACAAGCAGACAAGCTCAACATGTAGCTGTGAAGCCAGTGCCAAGTGGTTATTACATCCACATCCAGGGATGAGATGCACCAAGGTTTGACACGGTGCACATGCATGAACAGCCTCAGGCCAAAATAGTCTTTGTAGCTGTGATATCCCTCCTACACAGTGCCGCGGTAGCAGAGAGGCACTGACATGATAATTATAGTTCTATAGAGTGATTGGGCTCCTCCACTGTCTCCTGCTTCCTGAAATAAACCGAACTCACAGCTTGCGACTCAGTATGACACTCATACATGCAAGCATCCCAGTAGATGCGTACCAGCAGACTTGCACTCACAGGAAGTGATGAGAGTTCCAATCAGCTGTGGAAAAGGAGCATGGGTTAGTTTTACTACAGTGTGCATCCTGCTACCCATCGGGAACAGTGTTTAGATACAAAGCAGGAAAGGAAGCACAGCATCGACTACTGAGAGGTTTGTCTGTATACATGAGTAATCCAGTTAATATTCAGGTTTTGAAATAGTGTTGTACTGGTTAAAATATGAGATAATGTTTGTTTCTTGGGAAATAGCATCTGAAAAAAAGGCATCACTTGCCCTCTCAGACTAACCTTTAGTTTGCCATATTAGTTGCATTGCTCTACTTGATAATGTTTTTTTTTTAATTTATGTTTTTCATTAAGATTTTTGTTAAGCCTGTTTATAAAATTCATTTTTTATTCACTTTTTGCATCTTTTTTTATTTATTTATTTAAATGTATAATAATGTATAATATTGACCTTAACTGACATACAGTCGTCCTCAAATGTGTTCACTGAAATAAGCTGAAATTCACAAAAGTAATTATAAATAAAAAGTTTAATGAAAATCATGACATGAATTGTAGTTCAACAGAAATATTCAAAAAGCAAACAAGCATGATGGGACCCATAAACTACTGTTTTGTTGAACAACCCTTTGAGCCAATCACTGCAATCCAGTGTTTTCTGTAACTCTCAGTCAGACTTCTGCACCTGTTGACAGGTGTTTGGATTTTGGTCCACTGCTCATCAGCAAAGTGATCTAATTTGTCCAGGACTGTTTTGTTTGTTTGTTTTTAATTATTCTTTTCAACCACAATTCAAAAGCAATGTCTTATTTCACCAAATTATAATTTGACATTTTTTAAAATTTATTATTACTTTTTTCAGTTTCAAGTTGTGACTGTTGTGAATTTTGTCTTTTCTTGATTGGAAGGGTTTGAATACATTTGACGACGACCGTATGTCTTCATTTGGCGCTGCTTAAATAATAATCTAAAACAAATGATAATTCGATTTTTTTTTAAAACTATTTTTAAACATCTTTCTATTTTTTGTATTTATTTACAATGTATATTTTTATTCAAAATATATTTTTTTCCCTTAATATTTTGTTGACTTTTAAAAAAAAAAATCATTATTATAATTTATTTTATTTAACAAGTGTCAGCAATTATATCGGCTACAGCAGAGTTTTATCTTTTTTCAACTAACTACAATACTGTGCATGCACTGTAATATGCAGTGTTCAGAGCTCTGGTTTTCTTTCTTTTAATATGACTTTCCATCAAGTCTGATTAACGAATAATCCAAAGTAAATGAAAGCACTTATTAACAGTGTTGATAATTTGATCAGCCTATAGGCACTACGTTCAGCAGTGGTGCCACGTGGGCAC